GAACCAAAAGGGTCTGCAGTGAATGGAAGGGAACAGTTTTTAAAAGGTTCGGGTTGCAATGATTATGTTGAAACAAGTTTGTCTGTGGGACAAAGTTCAGTGTTTGGCCAAAAGTTACCAATTGAATCATATGGGGACGAAGCTATCAGTTATAAAAGATCAAAGACTTCTATGCCTCCTTTGCCTGTCTTCCACAAGCCATGTTCAAGTGATAGACACCTAACTTTTCATTCTGCAGAATTTGTACTTGGACTCAAGCCTGGAATGGAAGACTTAGATCTTGAACTCAGGCTGGGGAAGCCACAGAAAGTTATTTAGTATATAAGACAAACAGAAGAAGTTGTAATGGAATGTCAGTGTTTACCTTTATTTTTCCCCTTTCCTATTAGAGGTTCATAGAAAATAGGCCAGAACCTTCCTCGCCTAACCTAAAGCCACCTTGAGTAGAATTCTTAGGTTTATGTTCATGAGATGTTAATTTGAATACTAATGTTATATCTAGTTGCATGTTACTATCTTTTTTTTTTCTTCTCTTGAACATGTTGATGTTTCCACCTTTCTCTTAAAATTTACGCGTAATGGTTTGTTTTCACATTTTCGTAGTATAACAAGGAGAAACATAAAAGAAGTGTAAGATAAAACTTCCATGTGATGAATAGAATAAAATTGAGTAACTATTGTAAAAAGTAATGAATGAGAATAATCTTAAATAAGAATAAGATTTTTCTTGAATTATTAGTTTGGTCACTGCATGCAGTTCATCATTTGAAAGACAGATGTTGAAAAATACAACACTATAGCACCTTCAACAATATGTAAATTTGACCATCTCAAATGTGATAGTTAGATTTAAGCTAATAAAACAAGTTAGTGGAAAGTGAAAATCTTATGTGCTAGGGTTTCACAAAGAGGGGCAATGCAGAAACAGACAAAGAAATGAACGAGACAAAGTTGTTTCTTTTTTTCTTCTTCAAGAAGAACAGTAATTTCTTAGAAGTTTGTTTTATAGATACAGTATACTCACATTTATTTGTGGTGAGAGGAATCAAAGAGATGAAAAATGAACTGTAAGGTAATAATTAAAGTGGGGGAAGAACTGACAGTAACTGACAATTAGAAGTCACTTCAGCTACATATATTCCAGGAACTAACAGTAGTCACATGCATATAAACCTGCACAAAATTATGAATAACCTTTTTACACGGATCATTACAAGTGATCGCTCACCCACTTACCACTTCACCTCATCATTCCCATAAATTCCAAATGGTTCAGTTGCTTTCCACATGCTTTTTCCTACAAACACTTCCAAAAAACCAACCAACCACACGGAAATTGAATATTAACACAAACAGCACAGCCAAATATTAATTTAGTTTGGTAGAGAGGGAAAGGACATCACATCATTGGCCTTATTAGCATGTCATTGTTTTTACTCTTGGTGTGATGTGTATTTTATATATATATGTGTGTGTATATGTTAGTTATTGTTATCCCTAAAAATGTCCACTTCTTATCTTTCAAATATTTCGAAGCCCGAGACTCTTCTGCTCCCTGTAGTAACTTAAAAACAGTGTTAGCCACCTTATTGTGACACCGACCGTTCCTCCAGAATACACGGGGACGTCACAGTCTCTTCTTTTCAACCTTTCTTTCTAAGGAAATTTTATGAAATATCGCTTTTATTTGACTTCATGTTCTTTGCAGTCTGCCAAGAGCAACACATACACACAGAACCAATGCATTTCTGTCTACGATCAAGGGGGAATTCCAGCAATATACCCTTTTCACCATGTTTGCTTTCCCATTATGGACTAACATATATACACACATATTTTGATTCATAAGGTTGAACATTCGCACAACAGATTAACGAAGAAAAGCAAGTTTTCCANCCAACCAACCACACGGAAATTGAATATTAACACAAACAGCACAGCCAAATATTAATTTAGTTTGGTAGAGAGGGAAAGGACATCACATCATTGGCCTTATTAGCATGTCATTGTTTTTACTCTTGGTGTGATGTGTATTTTATATATATATGTGTGTGTATATGTTAGTTATTGTTATCCCTAAAAATGTCCACTTCTTATCTTTCAAATATTTCGAAGCCCGAGACTCTTCTGCTCCCTGTAGTAACTTAAAAACAGTGTTAGCCACCTTATTGTGACACCGACCGTTCCTCCAGAATACACGGGGACGTCACAGTCTCTTCTTTTCAACCTTTCTTTCTAAGGAAATTTTATGAAATATCGCTTTTATTTGACTTCATGTTCTTTGCAGTCTGCCAAGAGCAACACATACACACAGAACCAATGCATTTCTGTCTACGATCAAGGGGGAATTCCAGCAATATACCCTTTTCACCATGTTTGCTTTCCCATTATGGACTAACATATATACACACATATTTTGATTCATAAGGTTGAACATTCGCACAACAGATTAACGAAGAAAAGCAAGTTTTCCTTAACAACTTAATCAAGCACAACTTTAATATAATTGCACATGTACATGCTAAATATAGGACCACTTATCTTATGCAAAAAGTTTAACTCTTCATTTACAAGTTTAGAACAATAAAGATTTATATTGCTTTTATATTGCATTTCTTCCAACAAGTAAAGTTAATTACATGGATAAATTTATATTGCATTTCTTCCAAAGGTTGGTTTGGTATCTGACCGGAATATTTAAGCATTGGAGTTTTCTTATTTGAACATAAAAAAAAACACTGAGATTATGTATGTCAACACTGCATATAACTATCTTTGTTTTATCCTTGTTGTTTTTTATAATGTGCACGCATCTCAAAAACATGTAAGAAAATGAAATAAACAACGTACGTTTTGTTAATATCTCAATTTTGTTCTGATTTTTCTTTCCTTGAGCGGTGCCGTGAAACGAATTTTGAGACTGTAGCAACTAAAGGCGTTTGGATAAAAGTCTTTTCCTCGGTTTAAGCTTTCTTTCTTCTCCTAAAAACTTGCTCAGAGGAGCTGATAGAGGAAGTGGTGTTACTGACTCAGTTTGCAAGTACGTGAATAAAATTGGTGTTTACTTGGAATAGAAATTATGGTTAATTAATGCAGCATTTTGGTTTTGGCAAGGCCTGATATCTGGCTGAATCTTATGTTTGAATTAAAGAGTAAAGATGTATATGCATGCAGCAGAGAGAGGTCACATGGGGATGATGATGTGTGTGTTTCTGTTTTTATTTGGTGTATTTATTGTGGGAATTCAGATTGATACATGTTCCCCACTTTAGCAAGTTTGCTTACTTTATTAAGGGTGCTTCGATGTATGCAAAGTGTAGTGATAGTATATAGCTATTTGCTATATACTGCTGAAGTTTAAGAGTGTCTATAGAGATTGGAATTGGAATTGTAATTGTAGGTTCCTAGCACGTGTGTGACTATGCATTAGGATTGTTTGTAGGTTCTGGCAGTGAAAACAACTACACAGACATTTCGTCGTATAATTAATCTATTCATCGGTTGTGAAAGACGATTTGACAAATGACACTTCACAAGCTCATTCTCTCCATCCTACAATGTCGCTTTACTCTTCCATCTACAAATTCAAACCTTTCAAATATAAAATACTTCTTTCAATTTGACAAAAGGGAAGGAAGAATAGGGGCTTCTACAATCTGCATGCACGTGATGCCAATTCTAAATTTCAATCCATCTCCTCCGTGACTACAATAGCTTTTGTAATTTTCTAGCTACCTAAACCTACTCATGTGATTCTGCCACATGATTTCCCTGAAAGTTCATTAGCTTTGAAATTAGTTGTTTGCTTCTTTATTGGAAAAATATATATCAAGAAGTTTGTTAACAAAATTATTATTTCTAGTTCACATAAATAAGTCAAATCTCTTAGGATTAGTTCATCTATACTTTGTGACTCAAACTCAAACTCAAACTTTTTGTTATTGGGCCCAAATTGGTATGTATTGGGCCCATCAAAAAAGACATCATCACTACCAGGGTGTTGCTCCCTCCACCACCACACTTTTCTCCCTCCACCTCCCCAATTTTTTTTAATTCCAATTATATCCTCAAATTAAAATTTTTTATTTTTATTATTTTAATTTATTCCAAACCTAGTTCTCATACTTTACTCCCTGCACTCAATCTTTCCATCTCTCAATTTCGTTTAACAATTTGTCTTCTGTTTTACTTTACAACTCCATTTGTCTTCTCCGTTTCACTTCTCCTCATACGATTCTTTCTTCTTCATTTTCCTTACATTATTAAAATACATTAAAAATATATTAAAAAATAATAAATCAAAACATTTAAATTAAATTATTAAAATATTTCCAAAATAAAGAATAAACTAATAAAATAAATCCTAAAATTAAAAACGTAACTCGGAGTCCGTTTAAGGAAAGAACTGATGTCAACATCCGTTTATGGAAAGAACGGATGTCCACATCCGTTTAAGGAAAGAACGGATGTCAACATCCGTTTAAGGAAAAAAACGGATGTTGACATCCGTTCTTTCCTTAAACGGATGTTGACATCCGTTGAAGGATGTCACCGTTTAAAAGTTACGTTTTTTATTTTAGGGTTTTATTTGAAGGTTGACACTGCATCACGAGAGCGACACTGCACCACGAGAGGGAGACTACTTGATAATTCTTTCCACTACCACCAACCTTTACAATATCTCACCGCGACAAAAGAAAGAGATGAAGAAAAATAATGTTAAAATAAAAGAAAAATATTTTACTCATGTAGGAGGAACTAAAATAGGTTATTAGTGGAATAGGTTGTGAATGGGTAAAATTAAAAAAATTAACCCTAAAAATAAAATTTTATTTAAGGGCAAAATAGTAAAGGAGAGGTGGAGGAAGAAAGGTGTGGTGGTGGAGGGAGCAACACCCTCACTACCAAATCTATATGCCCAATAAAAAAACATACACGTTTTCAGATAAAGATGACATTTTTCTTTGTAAATTTTACATAAGATGGTAAATATACACGGTCTCCATCTTCATGATCACGACTCACAAAAAAGGTAAAAACTGAAGCAAACAACAATGGCGAACCCAGAGGGTAGTAGCAGAGGTTCAAGATGGTCCCTTAAGGGATCCACTGCCCTCGTTACTGGAGGCACACGTGGAATCGGGTTCTTTTTTTCCCTTCTCACTCTCGTTTATGTTTTTATTCTGTTTGTTGCATCATGCATGAAGTGAATTGGGTTTCTTGAATCCGGGGTTTGTTAAAAAGACTTAAAAGTTATTGTTTTTTTTTTTCTGGGTTTGATCTGGGTTCACTGTTGATTCAGGCATGCTGTGGTGGAGGAACTGGCGGAGTTTGGTGCCACGGTGTACACTTGTTCCAGGAATGAAGAGGAGCTGAATGCACGCTTGAAGGAATGGAAAGAGAAAGGGTTTTTGGTTTCTGGGTCGGTTTGTGATGTGACTTCTCCAGCCCAAAGAGAGAACCTCATTAAACAAGTGGACTCTGCCTTCAACGGCAAGCTCAACATACTTGTGAGCCTTTCTTCTTTCTTATTTATATATTTGGAAATTGGAATATTTTGTCTTGTATTTGTGTTTGAAGTAGTTTAGAATAGTGGGCAGGATAATATTTGTGTTCAGCTTTATAAAAAGTCATCACTGACATGAAATCGATCTCCAACATTCATGCATTCAAGATCAAATGGTTCACATTTCAGAGAAATATCTTAAAATTGGATTTGGCAAGACGAAATTTGAGTTGTTCCATCATCCAGCGATTCTGGTTAACCAAATGTGGAATACAGGAAATCCCTTGCTATAGTACTATATATGTAATCTTAGAGTATGTAATAATAATATGATATATTTAAAATCAAGAAAATTATAATGTCAAGATGGATGTTAAGTGAGTGAATGTACCACTTACTAATTTATGGTGTGTATTGTCGTATGATGCTATCATGAATTTTAGTAACATCCTGGTAAAACACCCAGTTTATAAGTGTTTGTTCTTCATCCTTTTCCTGTGGTATATGCACTCTCAATTTGCAAGTGACTTGTAAATAAATAGATTGTCGCAATTTCTTGATATATTTTGCCTAATTAAGACTTTCTTATTGTTGTTTGAACCATGCAGTAGGTAGCATTAGTATCTGAACAATACCGTTAATAATTGAAAACATAATTAATAAGTTTTGTCTCTATGAACATCTTGTGAGCTTAGGTAAACAATGTGGGAACAACTGTGAGGAAACCAACAATAGAGTATACTACTGAAGATTATTCAAAATTGATGGCAATTAACTTGGACTCTGCATACCATCTCAGCCAACTTGCATATCCTCTTCTTAAAGCATCTGGAAATGGAAGTATTGTGTTCATTTCCTCTGTTGCAGGTCAGACAAGCGTAGCTTCTGGAGCCATTTATGCAGCAAATAAAGGTGGGTTGAAGAGTGTAATTATGTCATCTCGGGCTTTGACATAGATTACAAACTATTTTAAAATATATTGACGAAATAGATTCAACGCGCTGTTTTCTTCAGCTGCTATTGATCAGCTTTCTAGATATCTTGCGTGTGAATGGGCGAAAGACAACATAAGGAGCAACAGTGTTTCACCCTGGTATACCAACACATCAGTTCATACACAGGTAGTGCTCTATGTTTTATTTCGTTCAAAAACATCACTTTGAAAACTATATGTTGTGATACATACAATCCAACCAGACAATTTTTTGGGTTATTTTAGAAATTGTCTATGGGCCCAATGCAATCATCATGGCATAAGTGTAGATGGTTGAGATTCCACATTAAAAGGATGTTTCGTGCTAACAAAACAAATTGCTGTGGCCTTAGTTTTTAAGTGGTGATGAATTATCCCTATACATATTATGCATGTTAGCATGATCATCAGTATAATAATTAATATTCAAATAACATCGATGCTAATTGTTATCATATATCTGACAGTTGCTTACAAATAAGGAAATTGTTAACGAGATAATATCTCGAACGCCAATAAAGCGAATTGCAGAAGCACATGAAGTGTCATCCTTGGTGACTTTCCTTTGTTTGCCAGCAGCTTCTTACATGACTGGACAAGTTATTTGTGTTGATGGAGGATTTAGCGTGTATGGATTTCAACCCAGCGTGAGAATTACTTGAAAGAAAAATGGATTTTTTATGGTTAGATTATGTGAACAAAGTGGTCGCTTGAGTTTTGGACCTCCCATGATCAATATGTTTTGAATGGCGAATGAGTTATGTTAGTATTTTAAAGATAAATTTAGGTAGATATATTCAATACCTATAAGATTAGGGGTGCACTCTCCTTACGTCTCGTTCAACGTATCTATAAACTATCTGTTAGTATCTAATTAGTGTCAAGTGCCATTACCTAGTGTTCTTGCTAGGGTCCTGAGTGTGGTTCTTTGGACATGTCACGTGACCGAAGTGGCTTTGAAGTCTCGAAAGTGTATTCCTGTTACGCTTAAGTTAAGTCAGTAAAAAAGTTTTAAGATTTATGAATATAGAGATAATATTTTTGAAAGAATAATAGTTATATTTATAGAATTAACATAGATAATTGATTTATGTTGTGATATCAACTAATATCATTGAAATAATATTTACTCAAATAGATGATAATAATAACAGGATAAATAATAATAAAAAATAATACTTTACTATAAATGATAACTATAATATTAAATTACTGAAATTATTTATGATATGTAAATATTTTTTGGGTTTAAAGTATATCTATTTGGGTTGGAAGCTATACTTAGTTTATTTTTTTTTGTTTCCTTCTTCAAAATATATTACTTTTGGTATATTGAAAAGATTTTTAGTAAATTTTAAAACATCAAAATAAACATGCATAAGTGAATTTTAAAGGAAAACATAAAACACCACAAAAATAACTTAAGTGAAAAATCTAAATTTATCATGACTTAGACTGTGTTAGCATGCGTGAATTTATTATTACTAGGAATTGGCAACGGAAATGTGGGGGAATTTGTCGTTTGTATCTAAAATTTACAAGTAACAAATGAACTACCTAATTCCAAATAAGTTAAAGAAATGTTCCTATTATATAAGTGAAGGAAGGTCATAATAAAGGAACTTGTCCATTTAGAAAGTAGTCAAATTTCATCGCTTCTAAACTTATTGTAGAACTTTAAAATTAATATCACCATTTAAAATATATTTGATTTTTTCCCTAGTAATATATTTGTTACTTCTCTTTTTAAATTTTTAATAATACATTTCAAATAATTTTTTTATGCTTAATTGTTTTAATAAATTATGTTTAGAAAATTGGTGTAAAAGAGAAGAAAAAACAAGAAAGTTATATCGATTAATGGATACTTCAGAAACAAAGAAGTCATATGAGTCAGTAGAGATTTTAAAAACTTCAAAAAGAAAAGTAAAGAAGTTGTATAAGATAGTAACAATTTCAAAAGAATGGAAGTCTTATATGACGGTATAGACTTCACAACAACTAAAGTCGTATGAGATAATAGAAACTTAAGAACAATTAAAAAACATTAAAATCATCAAAGGGAAACACAACTTCTTTATATGCTGAAGTCGTTAATTGACAACTTTTTCTAGTTTAGTGAAATCGTACAAGAGTCATACGATTTCTTATTGGTAAAATGGAAAGATTGGTACAAGTCCCCATATTCATAATTTTTTTAAAAAATATATCCATTTTCTTAATTGAAAAAAGTAATTACACCAAATGGATAAAAAAAAATCGTACAAAGTGATACCTAGTCCTTTTCTAAAACTAAAAAAAGAAACCTGGGCCTAATCAGCAGTGACAACAACACACAAACAAGCCCCCAGAAATGGGCCCATATGGACATCAGCACCACCAAATATCTGAGGTGGTCGATTCGGCACAACATAAATCACTTTCCTTTATCTTGGTCAGAACTCACAAGATACGCAAACAACAATGGCGAACCCAGAGGGTAGTGGCAGAGCTTCAAGATGGTCACTTAAGGGAACCACTGCTCTCGTTACTGGAGGCACACGTGGAATCGGGTTCCTAATTATTTTCATTTGCTCCTCATTTTTTTCTACACGTTCTCTCTGTCTGTGTGTGTGTGTGTGTATTTCATTAGTTGCATGAATTGATTTGGATTTCTTGATTCTGGGGTTTGTTATAACGAATTGAAGTTGCGATTTTTGCATTCTATTTTTTTATGGGTGTGATGTGGTTTAACTGTTGATTCAGGCATGCTGTAGTGGAGGAACTGGCAGAGTTTGGTGCCAATGTGTACACTTGTTCCCGGAAGGAAGAGGAGCTGAATGCATGTTTAAAGGAATGGAAAGAGAAGGGATTTTCGGTTTCTGGTTCGGTTTGTGATGCATCTTCTCCAGCCCAAAGAGAGAATCTCATTAAACAAGTGGCCTCTGCCTTCAACGGCACGCTCAACATACTTGTGAGTCTTTCTTCTTTCTTTCTTTGTATATTCGGAAATTGGAATAGTTTGTTTTGTATTTGTTTTGTCGTCTCTAATTTATAGTTCATGAAATCGATCTCCAACATTCATGCATTCATGAATAGGATCTGTTGGATGAAGATCAAATGGTTCACATTTTAAGTACATATTTTAAAATTGGATTTATCAAGATAAAATATGAGTCTTCATCTAACTATTCTGATTGGCTAAATGCAATCTTAGAGTTTGTGATTATAATGACACAGCTCAAGATAGTACCTTTAAAATTAAGGAAACTATACTGTCAAAAGTGAATTGATGTACCACTTACTAATTTGTTTAGTGTTAAATTTCAAAACATTTTGGAGCTCCTCTACCTACCCTGTCATGTAGCCCGATGCAACTCGACAGCTCTGCCTCTGTTCAGGATAGTAGCAGGATAAACAGGGTGTTCAGCTGTATTGATGACTCTATTTTATTTTGGGATACTAGTTACTGAATTTGTTAGAGATTGATCTGATGTATTTCAATTCAAACAGGAGTTTCATTATGATGTGTATTGCCGAATATTGTATCATGTATTGTAATAACATTCTCATAAAACAGTCAATGTGCTAGTGTTTGTTTTCCCTCCTTTTCTTGTCTTACATGCACTCAATTTACAATTGGTTACTGGCTTATAAAACAAATAAACAGATAGTTGCAATTTCGTGATGTATTTTGCTTAAACAAGGCTTTGTTATTGTTGCTTCAAATCCATCCTGTAGGCAGCATTTTATCTGCACAATATAGTTAATAAGTGAAAACATAGTTATAACTTTGCCCTTTGGGATTATTGCAGCTTAAAAGTGTTAAAATTAAAAATGTTCAAATAGCTAGACTTGTTTCTCTTATGGGCAAGATTTCAGCACATGATAACTTTTGTTTCTATGATCATCTTGTGAGCTTAGGTGAATAATGTTGGAACAAACGTGAGGAAGCCAACAATAGAGTATACAACCGAAGAATATTCAAAATTAATGGCAACTAACTTGGACTCTGCATACCATCTGAGCCAACTTGCACATCCTCTTCTTAAAGCATCTGGAAATGGAAGTATCGTGTTCATTTCCTCCGTTGCAGGTCAGAGAAGTGTAGGTTCTGGAGCCATTTATGCATCAACTAAAGGTGTGTTGATATATAATTATGTCATCTCCCGTTCAAACATTGATTGCAAACTATTTTGAAATATATTGACGAAATAGATTCATGGTGCTGTTTTCTTCAGCTGCAATGGATCAGCTTACCAAGTATCTTGCATGTGAATGGGCCAAGGACAATATAAGGAGCAACAGTGTTGCACCCTGGTATACCAAAACGCCACTTGCGGAAGCTGTAATGCTCATTCACCCTGTCTATTTTCTGTTCCATGAGGACTAATAATTTGTTTTTGTTGGTCCTGTCAATATATATATATATATATATATATATATATATATATATATATATATATATATATAGTCTGTGCTTGAAGTTTTACATTCATGCTCCTTTCAAGTTTTAACTTATGTATTCAGCAACATAAGAGTATTAAGATAAAAAGAGTGTGTCTATCAGGCTTTACACCCTCTAATCCTTTATATTATCGTATGAGGAAATCTAATTTGCCTGCATATTGAGATACCTCATTGAAGTGGGTTAATGTTAAGAACTTTAGAGAGGTCCAATGCAATCATCATGACATAAGTGTGCATATTGGAGAGATACGATAAAAGTGAGAGGGATAAGAATTTTCATCCCTTAAGCTAGTTTTTGGGTTGAATTAAATCCAATTATGTATAAGATGATATCAGAATCTATTAAAATATCCTTATAAGCTTTCTATGCAAGGTGTCTATCTAGTCTTCCAAACCTTAAGGTTAATTTTGTACCAAATCCAAAATTCTAAGAGAGCACATGAGTATTTGTGCTAACAGTACATTGCTTTGTCTTTGCTTTTTAAATGTTGGTGGTTAGATATATGTTATTTTTAGATATCTTATATTTATCTTCAGTTACTTTGTTATTATTCTTTATTTGTATTTTAGATTTAGTTCATATTTTCTTTATTATAAATACAGTATTCTATGTGTATTTTTCTACACAAGGGAAATTAATCTCATACATAGTTTTTCACTATATTCAATATGGTATCTAGAGTTTAAGTATTTTTTGAAAAATTTTCATCGCCCTGCCTTTGCAACTGTCGCCATGGTTAGGGTCGTTGCCGCCGTCACCCGCCACCATCACATGTTGGAGCTTCAATTTTGACTAGCAACCACATGATTCTGCTCTTGGCCAGGCGACCCCAATGTTGTCGAGAACGCTGCCATTGGAGTCCGGATGTGCTCCTACGCGTCGGTCGAAGTTCACAAATGTCATCTTTTCTAGCTATGTGTGCTTCGTCATCTTCGGCTCCGATCACTGTTGCTAGACATGCTGCAGCCTCCTCTCTCTAGATATGACCTTATTGCCTTGATTGGAGAACCTTATATTTTTAGGGTTTCTCTCTCTATCTCCTATTTATCTATGACTTCTTCGATTGTTGTCTCTTCTGATCTCTTTTGCCACACCACTGCTGACTCATTCTTGGTGGGTATGTCGCAAATCCTTATATGGCCTAAAACAGTCCATCTCCTAAGACTTGGTTTGGAAAATTTAGCAATGTTGTTCCACAATTTGGTATGACTTGGTGTAAGATAGATCATTAAGTCTTTTATTGTCACTTGAGTGTTGGATGTGTCTACTTGATATTATATGTTGATGACATTGTTCTCACACGCAATGACAACCATGACATGTCCCATATGAAATAACATCTTTGCAACCATATTCAGACCAAAGATCTTGGCAAACTCAGATATTTCTTGGGT